TCTGGCTGCACGAAGTGAAAATGACCAGACAGCAAAATGATGCTGTAATGCGTCTAACCTGCATAGTTTAGTCTCAGCAGAAAATCTATTAAAACAGATAATTGGATGGAAGAGGGATCAGAGAAAAGTACAATGCTGGTAAAATCACCCTAAAGGAGACAGAGTGCCAGGGGAGCTCAAGGACAGCATAGTTAATGGGCCATCAGACACATGACGGAGGAGAGAGGAACTAGGGCGGATGTTCAAGAAAAGAACGGGTGACAGGTGAGGAAGCGCGTCATGTATCGGAAAAGTTACACGCGTGACATAAAAATGTAGGGACAACACTGATGAAACACAATAAAACCTCCAGAACAGTAAATCTTGATGCAAACATTTGTTTTGCTACAAAATAATATAGATTTGCAACATTTTAATTATGCATGATGATTATTTTAACACATTTCTCTGTGCTGTGGAGTATCAGCCAGTTGGTGCTGTAGCTGCTAACCTGTAAGGCCAATGTGGGATGTCACCACTCACTCGTCAAAGCAGAGTGTTGGTGACACTTACTTCCTTCACTTCCTGGACTGAGCACTTCTGTATGCATGTGTCTGCTTTGACGTTACCTTTTCTGACCCTGAACAGGGACGTTTGCATGGCAGGTGTGAGTCACAGCAAACCATTTCTGTTAAGTTCACAACAATAACTGGTAAGTGCTTATGTTTCCACCTGTGCATCCAATTTATTCAGAGCTGGGAGTTTTAGTGCTGCTCAAGGTGGCTGCATGTTGGAGTAGCTGTTACTTTCATTCTGGGATATTGCTTCTGAAAACTTTATTTCCTCTTTTTATTGGATGTAAATGGCTTTTTTTTGGATGAATACTTCCTCTGGTATCTGATGCTGTGCAACTGGAAGGTACTGAAACTTTTTTACTTTTAAACATTTGACATGTAACCATGACAACAAGGTGGCAGCTGATTAACATCTCAAAGCTCAAATCATATACAGCCCCAAATCCCAAATGAGTTGCAAAGGAGGTGCCGTGGATGCATCTCCATCTACCTGGCAGATGTGCTTGAGTGACTGACTGCCGAGATCCTGGAGCTGGCAGGAAACATGGTTCATGACAAGACGACCAGCATCATTCCCTGACACCTGCAGCTGGCTGTTTGCAATGATGAGGAGCTCAACAAGCTGCTGAGAGAAGTGGCTATTGCTCAAGTTCTGCCCAACATTCAGGTGGTTCTGCTGCCCAGGAGGACCGAGAGGCCCGCTGGGTCCGGGTGAACCTTTTGGCATCTGTGGCCAGATTCTTCAGATCCATTACGGAACAATCTGCTGCGGGAGATCCTTCCTGCCCACAGCCACCAGCATCTATAACAACTCTTAATGAAACCAGGATGAGCTACATTTAATTTCCCTTTGGGAATAATAAAGTATTTTGAATTGACTTTTGAATTTAAACTATTTTTTAATCAGAGAAGCTAATTTCCATATTTCATCATTTTAAAATATTGTAAATGCAAGCAGGTTTTCAATGCAAGAAAAAGTCCAAACGATTGCAAAACAAACTTGATGACACGTTATTTAAATAGTGTGTAATTTAGTTGTGTGCAGTTTTATAAATAAAAAGATATGTAATTTAAAGTAACCATTTTAGCTTTTTTTGTTCTTTCAAAGCATCAAAATGAACAAGGAAGAACACAGAATAAAAACTGGCTGACATAACTTTAATAGATACCACTGGTGTTTCAACATGAACATGGATTTTTTTTTTCAACAGTGCCAAACATGACGACACTCCCTATAAACGTTCCAGTTATTTGGCACGAATGTGCTCGACATGCAGCAGCTTCCTGTTGGTCAGTAGGTCCCTATCAGTTTGAGGCCGTGAACTCTCCAGCGTGGCTCTGCAGAATATTCGCTTGGACACAGAGCGAGCATCAGGGGTGCATCGTGAGCGATGAGCACTTCAGCTGGAAGCTGCAGCCTCAGCACAGCCCTGGAGAAGTCAGAATTCATCATCCAGCATTGTGCTGGAAAGGTGGAGCTGCAGGCACACAGGAGGAATGGAAGCTTGTAACTAAACTGCCCGCCACCTTTGCATCCTACGCTGCTGTAATCAATCCCACTATCTGACAGAATTCATGCAACACTGCTCTGGTTTTCTGAGTGGTGCAGCTACTCTGCAACATTTAGCTACTGATGTTTGAACACAATGAACTAAAAGCATCTACATGCACTGAAAGTGTTTTAAAGAACAAGAAGGTCATGAAATCTGTGAAAACATGTGGTCTTGATTAAACAGGCGGTACGCTGATGTCCCCATCACTGAGGGATTTGAAATAGTGAATATGGTTTTCAAGATGAGGGTTTTTCTGGACTGGAAGTGAACAGGGAATGCAAACACACAATGGTTTTGGTGCAAGATAAAGTAGGTAGAAGTTGACTGTTACACTGTGTAGGATAAAAGAAGTAGTGGTTTGTTTTTTTGACCGAGGAGGCACTGAGATGGATTGTGGCGAGCAGAGGGAGAACTTTTACCCACTACCAGACACAATAAAGGGCAGGGGTGGGGTTTAACAATAAATTAATGTTTGGCCACACTGATCATTTGAGGAAGCTACACTTTTAAGCAAAATAAAAACTACAAAGTATACAACAAAGTTAAGTCAGGTCATCTGGACGGTTTCTTTTTTTGTTGAGATGTTTTGTCCTTCATCCAAAGGACTTCATCAGTCCGAGGAGCCACAACAAACTCAGTCCCACAAGCAGCACACTCGCATAGTGGACCAACCAATTTGCTGGTGATGATGGTTTTTGGGGCTCGCCCTCTCCTCTCCCCCGTCAACCTGACCTAACTTTGTTGGATTATTTTACCTGGATTATTGAGCATGAATTTTGATGACTAGAAAACATTGTTTCCTCAAATGATTGGGAGTGGCCAGTTTACATACAGGTAAGTGGCAATCGAGCAGCACACCATCAAATAGGTTCTTAGCTGTTTCCAGTCAGCATTAATCTCTATTGTTTTGTTTACATATGATTTTTTAAAATTATTATATACAAACTTATTTGTAAGTTAGTTTTATTGATGTTTTAAATTGCGATAGTGACGTGTAATGTTCTCGGGTGTTGGAATGACAGATCACCGCTGAAACATCGATATGAACACTGTTATTGTTACAGTCGATGTGTTTACGCCTAGATGCAGCCGCACCCAAAGTAAAAGTTGGCACATTGCTCATTTTTCAAGTTATCTGCTCACAAGGTTCACATTTACATTTTTTTAATCTGAATTCCAGCTATTTTTGAAATTTCTGAAATACATTGAAACACATGAAGACCTGTATGAAATGTTAATGGAATTGCCCACTAGTGCATGTTAATCCTATTCCTAAAACATATAACCACTTGTTGTAGTTTATTTTTTTTTCTCTCGTACTTTCTTTCCTTTTTTTTGTTCATATCGAAGTCTGCTTCTGTTACGCCCTTTTTAGTTACACTATTGTGAATTGCCATATTTGTTTGTACTTGTTTTCGCTAAATAAAGTTTTCTTTAAAAAAAAAAAAAGGTTCACATTTAAATATGTCTGCAGCCATCTTGGATTTTGACGCAGCAACCCAGTTTTTTATAAGATGGAGGTCAGTACCTCACTTCTTATTCCAAGTTATTCAGCTCACAAGATGAACCGGACAAATGGAGTGTACTTCCAAGTGTCCTCTTGACTCTGTGACGAGCCAAATAATCCCAACAACAAAATGCATCCAAAATATTTCTTTAAAGTTGGACAGGAAAGAAAAAAAGGCCGAAGGTGATACAGAGTTGGATTTAACCTGTGCACACTCATATAAATAGATCAACTGTCACATGCAGCAAGATCGAGCACAAAATTAAACTTAACATTAGAGATGAGGACAAACTGTCCTTTTTAATGACTAATCAACGATGACCTTCAAATTTCAGGTAAAAATATTTCTAAGACATGCAAAGTGACCAAAGACAGAACCTATGGGTACCAATCAAGTTTCACAGCTTCTATTGTCAGTCACATCCATGAAAGGGGGTTAGGATAGCTAATTATTCAGAGCCATATGGCTGTGGTAGATACAGCGACCACGTGGCACGTAACACACAGTGACCCAATACATTTAGCAGCGCTGAAGTTTTGAAGAATGAGCTGACAGAAAACACAGAACTGCAGGACGGCACAAATTACTGATGCTGATGAGACCTAAACCTCACTGAGGCTTTGTTTGTTGTCCTCTTCCAAACTAACAAGTTCATTTAGTTTATAGCTGTGATGGAAGTGTAACTGCAATCACAAGAAGTTGGTTTTTTTCCCCCCAAGAATTTAATATTAATAATAAAATAAGAAAAATAGCAATCACCCACTGAAGAGTTGCATATTATTCCCCAAACCTGAGTGCACACTAAACAAGTTCCAAGACAGAAGCTTGAGAAACTTGTTTATAAAATATCTGTTCATGTGAACAAGGCTTCTTCATGTTTCATAATGTAGACTTGCTGACGGTTTAATAATTACAGAGTGATGATCATACAAACAAGAGTCCTCGATGCTAAAAATAGGAGAGCTCTGATTGGTACCGACACAACTGGCCAATAAAACGACAATAAATCCAAGGAAGAGAAGGTCTTTAACAGACTGCACTGGACATGGCTGCAGTTTGAATATTCTGCGTTTCTGAAACTGATATAACGACAACGGTTATAAAACCACTTTTTGGATTTCTATGTCTTTATCAGAGTCAGAACTTATTTACTGAATCTTAATTAAATATTTTTCTTTATTCTTTAAATGCCAGGAACAACAGCCCAGCTAGAGGAAAGTACATTGGGTGAATGTTGTTGGTGCTCTGCTGACCTCTAGTGTGACTTAGACAAACAGTCACAAACAAGGAAGAAAAAAAAAAGGACAAACTCAAAAAAACCAAACAGAGAAAGTAATGAAAAAGACAGAGCCACCTAAAGCATTTAGCAACACTCCACCACAGTGTTTGGGTAGTGTCATGAGCCCACTTTGCTGAACTCTGCATGTCTTCCTCTCGTCTTCGCGGACCAGTTCAAGAACATGTTCTCCTCCTGAGTGAGTGTTGTGCATAAAGTCTTAGAGGATCTGCTCAGTGCTTGAAGCAGAGATGTCCAGCAGTCTCCAGGCAGCGTATGGATTCAGTTCTTCCTGGTCTCGACACAGAGCCCACACATGCATCATCCTAAGCACTTTTTCCTGAAACAGGCAAGAACAACACATTCTCTTAAATGTATGAATTTGGAAACAATTTCATTAAAGTTGAAGAGAAACAAGTATTTTCTTGTGTTATGTACCAGCTACCTTCAGAGATCTCTCTTCTCAAGGATCTGAACACTCCTCTAAGACCTCGCAGTAGACATCTTAATAATCTATCTGTCCCCAGTCAATAGCCATGAAACTAATGTGTTATTTCTAAGTTATTGCGACCTAATGATTTAGAAAGTCTCTCATCAGGAAGAGATTTATTTAGTCCATAAAGAATGGACCGTCACAGTCAAAGCCCAGCTAATAAAATCAAAAGAGAACAGTTCGTCCACCTTTAATGCTCTGTCAGAAGTGTTATTAGTATTATAGTGTGAAAACTGGACAGGAGCCCAGTGCTTGCTGCAGAGTGGGTACCTTGACCTGTTGGCTGTTTATGACTGTGCTGATGTTCCCTGAGGGAATGTGAGTTACAGCTCATAAAGAGGTTTTCCAGCTACATAAAAGCCTTGCCCACACACCTTAAACATGGCCACTGTGTCTCTATAAATCCTGCTAATGAATCATGAATATAAGCAGAAGCTCCACTGTTTTACAGATGGCTTCTGACACGCCCACTCTCCTCACCTCAAGACAATTTGAGCATTACTGCTCTGATTACAACTAAATATCAACTGACGCTTTCTGTTAGCTTTTTCCCTTTAAAGCTTCTATCACATGGCAGATCTACAAAGATCATAAATGTAACACAAAGTTGTTCACTTACAGGATCTCCCTCCACCACCTCTCCCTTGGCGTCTCGAATCACCATGACCACCTGTGCCTGGAAAGTTATAATCAGCACCGGACCCTGCTCCATCATTTTACCCATGGCCAGCTGGAGAAAACATTACACAACAGAGTGAAGATTCAAAACACCACAATATAAGTTTTAAATGATTTAACTCAGTTAGCAGAATCTACAATTTAATTTTCGTGGGGGTAATTATGGACAGAAAGGGTTTTTTTTTCCATCTTAAATGCATGTTCTCAGTTTAAAGCATTAACTTTTTTATTAAGTAAATACAGTTTTGTTATTTACTCATGCCCTTTTTCTCCTCTCTTAGATGCCTTTTCTTTAAGCACAAAACAAGTGGATCTAAACACAATTAGTTTTTCCTTTAGTTTGTGTTGTCGTGTTTCTGTGCAGTCTTCATATATACCTGGTTATGTTGCCCGAACATCACAAAACAAAACTGTAAATCATTTTAACGGCAAAACTTTTGGAAATTTCGGACCCTTTTTGTATTACCCTAAAGTTTTTTAAATCACAATATTTTTGTATAAACTAGTGAACTGATTGCATGGATGCTTCAGAGTGCCACTTCTCTACAAACCTGAATGCTGCTCTTGAAAAGTTTTGATCAACTTACGTCGATGCTGTCTATGTCCAGAATGTTAGAGTCAAACTTATATCCCATGGCCTTGGCTTGCTGAATCGGATGTGCAAGTTGGCTGTATGTCTACAGAAACAATCAGAGGGACAAGGAGGACATCATCATAACACTTAACATGTGCAGCTGTTCATACAGACATGGACCCTGAACGGCCTTGGTATCCGTTTTGAAGGTGGGGAGTTAATATGAGGGACACCTTACTGCTTCATAGCACCAGTCCTTCAAAACCTCCAGATCCCCTCTGATCATCGCCTGCATGAGCACAAAACCAAAAAAAAAAAAAACTTCACTAACTTTTAACACAGCCACAAAATCCAGTTTAAACCCCAAAATATAAGAGTTCCACTGCCTTTTGACAAATGATTGTTCAGTGTTTGGCCTACCTCAAGTATATTTGGGATGATGTCTCGCTCGCACTGCTTGAGGAAGGAATCCTTGTCGAAAGAAGGGTCCACCTTCAAGATCTCCGTTAAAACCTCAGACATTTCTGTCTTGGAAAACAGATTGCCTAAAAATTGAATTTAAAAAAAGAAATGTGTTTAAAAAGATCTAAAAACAAAGCAGGAACTTGTGTTCAAAGGTAAACACTAATACATCAGCCAGCATTAATAATAATAATGAAGAGGGTTAGTCATTATATTACTGCAGAATGCTTGCTTACACTTTATTATAGTCTGATACTTCCATATCTACCTTATTGCAATGAAATTTGGGTAAGTACGTTTCTCATAACTATACATAAAATTTTGGGTCTTCAAAAATGATTTGTTACAATTGCAACTTGATCAGATTATCGTTGTCTTTCTGCTCCTCTCTTTAGGAATTTACAGAGTTTTACTATTTATAACATTAATATTTTTGACATTTGTATTTGCGTTTATAAGATTTATGCAGGTCAAGAGGATATAGCAAAGCATTTCACCCATTAGTTTAAATCAAACATGCAGTTTCATTCTTAACTCGACAGAGTCCAGCGCTTCATCTTCCTAAACCTCAGACCAGCAGAGTCAGTTTTCTCTCCGTTACAGGAGAGCTAAAGCTTGGAATGATTTTTCACATTTGGTAACAGGTAGGCCTTCTGCAAAAGATTTTAAACAGTATTTAAAACTTTATTTAATTAAAGAAATGTGATTGTCACTTTTTAATTGTTACATATTTTATTCAAATTTCCATTAACACTTTGTAGATTTTTATTTCTTTCTTTCTGTATAACTGTATTCCTACATTTTTGATCAATTGACTGTATTATGTGTATTATTTATATGTATTGGGTGGAGGCTTTATATAAATTCACTGGGCTTCTGCCTCTTCCTGCACTGTTATTATTATTTTTTTCTTAATATATTTTATCGGTATTTTAATTGTGCAAAATAAAATAACTTTTAATAATGTTAGACGAAGCTGTAAGAAATTTCTAATGATCATCAAACATACATCACTTATGTCATTTGATTTCTTCACCACCTTACCGACGATGTCGGTCATCTTGTCAGTGACGGCACGCGACGCTCGGATTAGGATGTTGTCGCTCTCGTCGTACTTCATCTTCATCTCAAAGAACCCTTCAGAAAACATTCAAAGGACAACAGGTCAGAAATAAACAATCTAAAGCTTTAATTTCCTGTAAATATTTCATTGCAGCACAAGTTTTTAAATTACATTTCTTAAGATTCATTTACAGATAAGCCAGTTCTTGTTTTTCTTGTAAGAAATAAACTCCAATGGCTCCGCTCATGAGAGACAGCGACAAGTGACAGATTTAGTTATTAAACAGTGCAAATAAATAATGAACTGAGTTACATGATTTAATAAATTAACAACAAAAAAACGTGTACATTTCTGTCATACGAAAAAGCCAAGTGTGCATTTCTTTTAGTTGTTGACTAAACAACATGACCCCGTTACAAGAAGGAACATTTTATACCCTCAAAACCTGTAGTGCAGCACTAAATAAAATAAAAATATGCAGTAAAAGTATTAGGTTTTTTTTAACACTTTAGATTGTGAAGTCACAGACACTGAGTATTTACAAAAATAGTGATGTTGCTTTTGTGCAACATAATGACAACTCAGCTCAATATAATCTCACTTTTCCCAAAATTATTGTGCCCAATTTTACATTCTCAGCCAGATTCCCAGCACAGTTCATTATTTGGCTCCTTCAGCCATTGCTTATTATCAGAGGCTTTTATACTTGACAGTGAGTAGTTATCCTCTGCTCAGACTACAACACAAATATATATTTTACCTTTTTTAATAGTTACCCAACTGACAGATTAATTTATCTCACCAGAGCCGTACAAAGCCCACAGCCAGTGCATTATTTGTCACATGCCTGACAGCCTAATAAACATAAAAATGTACAGAAAATGTTCTTAATTAGCTTAAAACACTTTCACACCATATCAATTATACAAGATGCCAACAAGTAATGCAAAGGTTTTAAGCAAATAAGTCCAATGTGCAGCACTTGGAATATGCCAAATTCTAGCTAAAAATCTTTAAGAGACTGAATTATAGCTGGTTTTAGATGGTAAAAAGTATAATTAAAATAAACCCTAAAACAGCTATAAAACTCAAACTCAAAGGGGTTGGCTTTCCGTAATTTCAAAATGAACAGATTTCTAAAAAGCAAACACAAAGTCATAAAAAGTTGTTGTTTATTGTTCCTTACTATTAAAGACCACATTGTTGTCTTTGAAGTCTTTCCACTGCTGGTACCATTTGGAGTCTTTGTGCAGCACCACTCCCATAGCTTCCCTAAAACCCACACAAAGTGAAGCATCACAGCTGTCAGTCAACAAAAACGTCACCGTTACTTCAGTTCAGAGAGAAAAAAATCATCACGTTAACCATAACGCATGGTTAACGCACTTAGCTGGTGCAAAGAGAATAACCTTCACATCAATGTGAAGAAGATAAAATAGATGCTTGTGGACTTCAGAAGGAACAAACACACCTACACCACCTGAACATAAAAGGATCTGCAGTGGAAGTGGTCTCCAGCTACAAGTACTTGAGTGTACACATGAATGACAACCTCAGCTGGAGCAACAACACCACCAGCCTAATCAAGAAAGATCATCAGAGACTCTACAGGTCCTTCTAAAAAAATTAGCATTTTGTGATAAAGGTCATTATTTTCCATAATGTAATGATAAAAATGAAACTTTCATATATTTCAGATTCATTGCACACCAACTGAAATATTTCAGGTCTTTAATTGTTTTAATACTGATGATTATGGCATACAGCTCATGAAAACCCAAAATGCCTGTCCCAAAAAAATAGCATATCATGAAAAGGTTCTCTAAACAAGCTATTAACCTAACCATCTGAATCAACGACGTAACTCTAAACACCTGCAAAAGATTCCTGAGGCTTTTAAAAACTCCCAGCCTTGTTCATTACTCAAAACCGCAATCATGGGTAAGACTGCCGACCTACTGCTGTCCAGAAGGCCATCATTGACACCCTCAAGCAAGAGGGTAAGACACAGAAAGAAATTGCTGAACGAATAGGCTGTTCCCAGAGTGCTGTATCAAGGCACCTCAGTGGGAAGTCTGTGGGAAGGGAAAAGTGTGGCAGAAAACGCTGCACAACGAGAAGAGGTGACCGGACCCTGAGGAGGATTGTGGAGAAGGGCCGATTCCAGACCTTGGGGGACCTGCGGAAGCAGTGGACTGAGTCTGGAGTAGAAACATCCAGAGCCACCGTGCACAGGCGTGTGCAGGAAATGGGCTACAGGTGCCGCATTCCCCAGGTCAAGCCACTTTTGAACCAGAAACAGCGGCAGAAGCGCCTGACCTGGACTACAGAGAAGCAGCACTGGACTGCTCCTCAGTGGTCCAAAGTACTTTTTTCGGATGAAAGCAAATTTTGCATGTCATTCGGAAATCAAGGTGCCAGAGTCTGGAGGAAGACTGGGGAGAAGGAAATGCCAAAATGCCAGAAGTCCAGTGTGAAGCACCCACAGTCAGTGATGGTCTGGGGTGTCATGTCATCTGCTGGTGTTGGTCCACTGTGTTTTATCAAGGGCAGGGTCAATGCAGCTATCAGGAGATTTTGGAGCACTTCATGCTTCCATCTGCTGAAAAGCTTTATGGAGATGAAGATTTCATTTTTCAGCACGACCTGGCACCTGCTCACAGTGCCAAAACCACTGGTAAATGGTTTACTGACCATGGTATTACTGTGCTCAATTGGCCTGCCAACTCTCCTGACCTGAACCCCATAGAGAACCTGTGGGATATTGTGAAGAGAAAGTTGAGAGACGCAAGACCCAACGCTCTGGATGAGCTTAAGGCCGCTATCGAAGCATCCTGGGCCTCCATAACACCTCAGCAGTGCCACAGGCTGATTGCCTCCATGCCACGCCGCATTGAAGCAGTCATTCATGCAAAAGTTTTCCCGACCAAGTATTGAGTGCATAACTGAACATGATTATTTGAAGGTTGGCGTTTTTTGTATTAAAAACACTTGTCTTTCATTGGTGGGATGAAATATGCTAATTTTTTGGGACAGGCATTTTGGGTTTTCATGAGCTGTATGCCATAATCATCAGTATTAAAACAATTAAAGACCTGAAATATTTCAGTTGGTGTGCAATGAATCTGAAATATATGAAAGTTTCATTTTTATCATTACATTATGGAAAATAATGACCTTTATCACAATATGGTAATTTTTTGAGAAGGACCTGTACTTCCTCAGGTGGCTGAGACGAGCTGGTCTGGGAAGCTCAGTTCTCACCTCCTTCTACAGGTGTGCAGTGGAGAGCATCCTGTGCTCCAGCATCAACGTGTGGCATGGAGGCTGCACAGCTGCAGAAAGAAAAGCTTAGCAGAGAGTGGTGAAGGCTGCACAGAAGATGTTGGAGTCCGTCTCCCCACCATCACAGACATTTACACCTCCAGGTGCAGGAAGAGGGTCACCTGCATCATGAAGGACCCCACTCACCCAGCACACACACTTTTTGCCCCGCTCCCCTCAGGAAGGAGGTTAAGGAGCATTAAGTGTAGAACCACTAGACTGAGGAACAGCTTCTACCCTGAGGCTGTTAGACTCATGAATCTCTAACCAGAATAATCACTGTGAAAAATCACATCATGTTGCTGCTGATCTGTTTCATGTTGATGTGTTCATGCGTGCTCATCTGCTCACACAGACTCATGTTCATGCTGCTGTTTGACATAATGTTCTTATGCTATTAATGCTTAGTGTATTTGTAGTTGATGTTGTTTTCTTAGTTCATATCTTAGATCTCATTACTGTTTTTCTTTTACATTTTATTGTTGGATGAAACTGGGACCCTGTGTACATAATTTTGCTCCACCACATGTACCACATGAAGTGCGAATGACAATAAAGAATCTCTGACTCTGATAAGAAATTATTTAAAGTTGTGTGTTACAGTGGATGACAAGAAAAGACTCCTGCTCTACTTGGATTTTCATTTTCTGTATAATTATTAATATTGATCACAATAAGAGAGCCTCAGTCAGAGGAACCAGTTCGCTCTGAAATGCTACTCTATTTCAGTGCAACAGAAGGGTACTCACGTACTCGTTGGCTTCGAAGATCTTTTGGTCATCCCCTGCACCTTTGGAGGAGAACTCAGTCCTTTTCCGTAGCCTGGCTGGAGGCCTGTACGGGCCAGTGTGGCCGAGATCGCCGATCTCTTTCTTCACACTCTCCATCCCCTGCAGACAAAGTAACGAATAGAAAACAAAAAGGCTCGAAAGAGTCAGTTTTAGCATTATGAACCTTTACTTATCACTATTATATGTACCATGCACATGTATTATTACTCATCAAGAACAAAAAAGAGCAGTAAGAACACAAACAACAACATGAGCAGGCATTAGTAAAATACAACCCCCCCTTAGCAGCTGCATACCTGAGATATTGCTCTGAACGCACCAGTCTTCCCCAACATCTCTCCACCCTTAGAGACAGATTCTGCAGAGGTCTTTGCAGTTTTGGCTGCTTCCTCCATTCCCTCTTTGATTTTCTTCCCAATATCTGTTCGACTGACTTCTTCCAGCCCCTGTCCGAGCGCACGCACAAACATACATGTTTAAAAACTGTCTGCGTTAACTTTTACAGCAAGTTCATGAAGCATCACTCTAAACAGAAGCAGCATCACAATAACACATCGTATTCACCTCTTTAACCGTCTCTGAAATGTTTTCCAACTTCTTCTTCAGGATCTCGGATGTCTTCACTGTTTCTGATTCTATACTTTTCTGGGAAAAGGCAGATATGAGAGCTGTAGGTCAAAAGAAAAGGTTTAGAGCTTAGCGGTGCTTTTGTTTGTTGCTGGATACTAACATATTTCCTTCGAGCTTGTTTCAGTGCATCTGACTCCTCGAGTTTTTTGGCCTCTTCACGGAATTTCTTAATATTTTCTTTCATTTCTTTGTTCTTGTTTAACTCCTGTTTCAGGTTATCCAAAAACTCCCCAAGGAAACCCTTCCTGCCCCCACCCTTTTCCCCTGATAAATATCTTACCTGGGGAAGAAGAAATTGGGGCACCTGGGTATGAAAAAGCAAAACAAAACAAACATAGAAAAACAACAATAGGTTGAATTAAAATGAAATTTTTAAAAAGCAAGTGAATCTATAAACATGTATTACTGTACAAATGTTTAAACCCCATTTACTTTATATTTTACTTCCAAGGAACCAGACTTTCAAACAATCTTTTAAAGTGGTCTCCATTAACAGTTTTCAGACTTTCTAAATGTTTAAAGTTTGTTGCTGTTGTTTGGACTTTTTCACTCATTTTCTGTCCAACCATTGAGCATAAAATGCAGTGTGTACCTAAAAAAATATGAAAGTGGACAAGAGAAGGACAAAGAAATAGGTTTAAAAAGGTAAAAAAATAAAAAAAAAATACACATATGTATATACATATATACATATATATATATATATATATATGTATGTATATAAAGTCTCTGTTTTTTTCCTGTTTCTATCAACTGTGAAATATTGCCAAGCTTAGCCATATTGTTTCTCATCCAGAATTAGAAATGTTAATGGCATGCTTTTGTTTAGTCTCGCCTGGATTTTTGTAACCAAAACCTCCCTAGACCGGTTGCAGTCTGTGCAGAATGCTGCTGCTAGACTTCTGACTGGATCTTCAAAATTTTGTCATAGAACTCTACTTCTAAAGCAACTCCATTGGCTCCCAGTTCATTATCGAGTGAATTTCAAGGTTTTGGTTTTGACTTGGCGAGCTCTGCATGGACAGACACCAATCTATATCTCAGAACTTTTACATCCCTACACCCCGATCAGGTCTTTGAGGTCCTGTGATCAGGACCTGCTGATTGTCCCCCAGACAAAACTGAAAACTAAAGGAGACAGAGTCTTTTCTTCTGTGGCTCCAAGACTCTGGAACTCCCTTCCTCAAACTCTCAGATCAGTGGACTCAGTGGCTTCTTTTAAAGGCCAGATAAAAACTCATATTTTTAAATCTGCTTTGCTTAAATTTGTTTTGTGCACTTTTTGTATTTTGTTTGTCGAAGTACTTTGCTATTTTTATCTTGAGAAGCGCTATATAAATGAAGTTTTACTTACTAAATACTATTTTTTTTGGTCAAACTATGTTACCTTTGTAATTTTTCATTTTTTAGTTAGGAGTACGAAATTGATAGAAAATGAGTGAGTCATCCAACGTCCAAAGAAAACTTTTGAAATAAATTACAAAAATACTACTGATCAAGATGTCTTTAAATATCACAAGTCCTTCAAGAGACAATTAAGAGAAAAAAAAAACAATTAAATGTATAATTTACCACAGTATGCAGTTCATCTAGACTGTAGAATTTATGTAACCAACATTTTCATTAATGTCAACAAAATAAAACTGCACCACTACATTATATAATAAAGAACAAACTTTCCTTAGGTGTTAGAAGTAGGCAAATCTGTCAACTAAAATAAACACAAGCTCATGCTGCTGGGGGGAATGAAGTGCTAAGAGGTGCAGAAAGTGGTAGCAGTACCTGTGGAGAGGTTCTGAGGAGGATCCTGTAAACACTGGGTCTATTTGGAAACATCATGTAAGAGGAAGGAGATGCTACCAAGCCTCTTCTTAAACACATCTGGACACAAACAAGAATCAACTCCAGGATCAACAGCTGGAAGGTCTGAACTTTACATAACAGGGAGAAATTAATGCACGGAGCATTAAAATGAGATGTAACATGGGCTGGTCGCGTGTTGTTTTAAAAAGCACACGCTTTTTATTTAAAACATATAAAAGTTCAGATGTAAAGATTTCGCCGCATTGTGAGCTAACTTAGCTAATGCTAGCAATGCAGGTTGAACTAAGTTTTATATGCGGTACAGAGTAAATCTGTAATGATTTACATCGTCTATGCCGTCCATATTATTACATTTTATTGTTTACGTGTTGAAATTTAAAACAAAAGGTCTCAAGGGCTCACCTGATAACACTGACACAAGGGGGCCGCCATATTGGAAGTCGTAATAATAAGCAGTTTCCGGTGGTGGCCTTCCACTTCCGCAATGAAAGTGCGTCCAAAATCGTGAAATATTCAGCAACCCCTTTCAATAAAATGTAGTTATTTGGCTTTTCCTTTGATGGTGTATACTAAAATTTGTTGTATGAATTTCTGGCTACAAATTTATTGTCTACAGGGACTAAAAGTTGACCAAAACAAATTCATGTTTTTAGCTTTATATCTCGAACTTTACATCCATTTGGACAAGTAGGACATTCAGTGGCAGTATGGTGGTTGTTGGTAGAGCTGCTGCCTCAGCGAGAAGGTTGTCCATTCAAATCTATCAAGGTTATCCTCAGCTTCAACAGTCAAATTCATCTCTCAGATGATCTGGAAACAAAATTCTTACGCAGATGTGCAGCAACACTGGACATTGTGGCCCCTTTTAAGATGTCTAAATCCCACTCTGCTTTGTCCAAACCAGCACCTTGGATAAATGATCGTGTTCGATCCATCAGGAGGGCATGTAGACGTGCTGAGCGGAAATACAAATCTCATCATTTGAGCTGTGACTTTTTTACTATGAAAAATATTTTTGAAAGATTATAACAGAGTGGTTAAAGAAGAAAGATCTAAATATTTATCAGCCCTCGTTGCTTTAAATTTGCATAATCCAAAACTTTTATTTAACACTATAAACTCTTTAATTTACAAATCACCTATTTCTAATGAATTTTCTTCTGAGAAATGTGAGTTTTCTTCCTTTTTTATTAATAAAATCTCTATTATCAGAGCTCAAATTGTGCCATCTGCCTCTGCTATTCAGCATGAGGAAGTAAATCACTGTTTCAGTTCATTTAGCCTCTTATCTCAGGCTGAGTTAGTAAGGACTATCAACTGTATGAAACCTTTCTCTTTTTTTTAAGATGTTTTACCAACAATTTTTTTTAAAGATTTTTGTCACTTTTTAATTCCTGATATTCTAACAGTTTTTAACAAGTCATTATCTACAGGGGTAGTTCCCAAAATGTTTAAAACTGCTGCTGTTGAACCATTATTGAAAAAACCCAACCTGGATTGTAACAATCTTAACAACTTTAGGCCGATCTCTAAATTACCCTTTATTGTGAACATTTTAGAGAAAGTGGTGTACTCTCAGATCTTAACTTATTTAAACCAAAAGTAACTTTTTGAAAAGTTTCAGTCTGGCTTTCGTCAATATCACAGTACAGAAACCGCATTATTAAATGTTGTGAATGATATTAGGATGAACTCAGATGCTGGCTGTTGTTCTGTCTTAGTGCTCCTAGATCTTTCTGCTGCTTTTGATACATCCATCCATCATCTTTACCCGTTTATTCCATTTTGGGTCACGGGGGTCGCTGGTGCCCATGTCCAGCAATCACTGTGTGAGGGGCGTGGTACACCCTGGACGGGTCGCAAGTCCATCACAGGGCCACATAGAGACAAACGAGACAAACAACCATTCACTCTCTCACTCACACCTAGGGACAATTTAGAGTTACCAATCAGCCTAACATGCATGTTTTTGGTCTGTGGGAGGAAACCGGAGCACCCGGAGAAAACCCACGCATGCACGGAGAGAACATGCAAACTCCACCCAGAAAGGCCCCTGGACCGGGGTTTGAACCAATGACCTGCTCGCTGAGAGGCAGCAGCTCTACCAGTTGCGCCACCGTGCTGCCCGCTTTTGATAGTTGATCATGATATTCTATTGAGCCGACTAAATTATTGGCTAGGTGTTACGAGACATTGAGGTGATTCAAATCTTATCTTCACGACAGAACTTTTTCCGTAATTTCTGGCAATAATTCCCCCAGTTCTGCTTCTCTCACCTGTGGTGTCCCCCAAGGGTCTATTCTTGGGCCACTATTATTTTCTATTTATATGCTACAACTTGGTCAGGTTATTCATAAATTCAATGTTTCTTTTCATTTTTATACAGATGATTCCCAGATTTATTTGGCTATTAACCCATCAGACCTCTCCACACTCAATAAACTTTATCTCTACCTTACAGACATCAAAACCTGGATGTCTGACTATTTTCTTTCACTCAACAACGATAAAACCGAGGTGATGGGTTTTGGACCCACGGCCAAAAGGGATTTATTAGTTCAGTCCCTTTCTGTTCTTGGTTTTAACTGCACTCGTGAAGCCAGAAATTTTGGGGTAACCTTTGATTCTGATCTTGGTTTTTCTAAACATTTTAAGAACATCACTAACAGCATTTTTTCAAATTAAGAACATTGCCAAAATCAGAGCATTCATCTCTTTAACTGATGCAGAAACTCTTATTCATGCCTTTGTCTCTTGACATCCTGATTATTGTAACTCTATTTTCTGGTCTGCCCCAAAGTTCTCTTAATCGCCTTCACCTAGTACAAAACACTGCAGCCGAGTTCTCACAAGATCCCATAAATATCAGCACATCACTCCAGTTCTTTCCTCATTGCATTGGCTCCCTGTGGATTTTAGAAATGACTTTAAAATTTTATTTTGTTTATAAATCCCTGAACTGGTCTTGCGCCATCATATCTGAGCTTCTTACCCCCTACATCCCTTCTTGCAATCTCAGAACCTTAAATCTGTTATTACTTTCCACTCCCAGAGCTCGACTGGTGACAGGAGGGAGGGCTTTTATGGTCAGGGCTCCTAATTTGTGGAATGCTCATCCTTTAATTAGACAGGCCTCTTCATTGTCCTTTTAAATCATTAGTTAATAAGGCTTTTAATATCTGAATTTCTTTCGTTATTTTAATTGATTTATTATTACTTTTTTCTATTGTTTTGATTCATGTGAAGCACTTTATTTGTATAGCACCTTTCAAACATGTTATAAAGTATTATTATTAAATCCCAGCCCAGAGACCTTGGGGGTGGATGTTGCATGTTCTCCTTACATGCATGTTTTTTCTCTGGGTACTGTGGTTTCGTCCCAGTCCAAAACCATGCACGTTAGGCTGATTGGTGAGAGCGAATGGTTGTCCGTGTCCCTGTGATGGACTTGCGACCTGTCCAGGGTGTACCTCACTTCTCGCACAGCGATGGCTGGGTATGAGCACGTGACCCCATGACCCAAAAAGGAAACGGGTAAAAGATATAAAAAGAACATTCAGAGTACACCTGCATGATCACATTTTAGTAAAACCGAGCATTAACACACAATAAAGTGTTTAAAACAAAATGATTTTTTTGTTTATTTGTTGAGATTTATTTATCAAAACATAGAACAAAGGCAATGTCAGGTGAAGCATAATCAAACAAAAAAGAATTAAAAGTTTGTTCTCTAAAACACAGAATACCAATATGAGTATAAACTAAAAACATTAACTTGGACAAGTTACCAACTAAAATAATTTTCACTAACATCTACTAAACCAAATATGGAGAACAATTCTGACCTTGCAGAGTAATTAGACATTGCTGACTAAAACTGTCAGATGTGACATGTGTGAATTAAGCGTTTCTATCAATCCTAACATCAATCTCTCTTCCGTTCAGGCGATAGCCGTTCATGGAGCGGCAGGCACGCTCAGCAGTTTCAGGGTTGTCAAAGCGAACCACACCACAGCCCTTGGATTTTCCATTTTCCATCTTGATATCAGCATACTGGACAATCCCTGCACAGGAACAATAAATAAATAAATGAAAAATGTGTGACTTTTATTTTGAAAACAACTTTTTTTTTACTGTTTATGCGTCACCCCCCCCACCCCAACATGTCGCACAAAAGATGTCTCAGGTCAACGCTTTTAGATTTTGCTTTCAGAAATTTTAAATCCTAGTTATACAATTTGTTGATATAAAAAGGTTCTTAATATAAAAAGAGCATTGCTAACAGGATCCACTTTAAATTGAACTATGCACTTTCAGGTTCCCAGCCAAGCAACACACCTACACTTTGGATCGGAAAACATAAATCTCATTTATTTTTGAGAAACAACAAAAGCTGTTTTACCGCATGTATTGAACGTGTCCTTCAGCATCTTCCAGGTGAAATCAAATGGTAGCTGAAAAACAAAATCCAATTTAAATATCTTCAAAATCAACAGGGAGCTCTAGAATGAACAGAATGTGTGCACTTACATTTCTGACAAAGATCTGGCATCCTTTCCTGAGATTGCTTCCCCCAATTCCAGGCCCTCCAACTCCCCCGAAAGAATTTCCTCCAAACCCACGATCCATATCACCAGAGCGATCAAACTGACCAACACCTCCAGATCCCATCCGGTCCATCCCAGAGCCCATGCGGTCAAAGCCACCAGAGGAAAAGCGGTCAAGGCCTCCGGCAGATCCCATGCGATCGAAGTTGCTTCCCATTCTGTCGAGTCCAGTGCTGCCCATGCGATCCATGCCAACTGTGGAGCCAAAATCCACGTTGGACCCCATGCGATCCATATTAGATGGGCCTAGCCGGTCAAATCCCCCAGGGCCAATGCGATCCATGTTAGATCCCATACGATCGAGGCTTGGTCCAAGCCTATCCATACTGGAACCCATCCGGTCCATCCCTGAGCTCATACGGTCGAACCCAGATCCCAGCCGGTCCAGGTCAGACCCACGATCCGTCCGGTCCATGCTCATCCCACCAATGCGATCCATGTTACTTCCAAGGCGGTCCATTCCAGAGTTCATGCGATCCATACCCAGGGAATTCCCTACAAGAGAAATCCAACAAATAACACAAGATGTGATTAAATGAACATGAGAGATTTACAGCTTTTAAACAAATCCTGAAAGTACTAACCCATTCCTCTTTCAAAGGAATCTCCAAAATTATTGCGAGACATTCCCATTTCATTTCGTCCAAAGTCCCTGTCAAAAGAGCCACCGATCCCACGGTCCATCTCTGACAACACAAGATATGAAACCATTAGAAACATCCAGCACAACGTGAAAAGCTCCATGCTTGTTTTAGTGTTCATAATGTCACAATATCTACTTACCATTCATTCGCCCCATCCCTGAGGAACCAAAACGATCCATGTTGTTCATTCCGCCAAAGTTGTCCATTCCTGAAACAGAGAAACAAGTGGTTGAAAGTGATTATACAAAATAGTAAAGCACATAATGACATCAACTTACCTCCTCCTCCCATGCGACCTCCCATGTTGCCAAACCCCATTCCATCCACTCCTGCACATGAAAACAGTGACAATGAGCACTCCAGTGATTTAAAATTTAGGAGTAGCAAGAATTTTTTTTTACAATTAAAAATAAATAAATAAAAACACTATAATAGTTACCTCCAGGGCCCATGATTCCCATCCCTCCACCACCACTACCACCACCACCACCACCACCTCTGTTGAGCATTGTTGCATCAATAGGCTGACCACCAGGTCCAAGGCCCAAACCAACACCGCTTAGCCCACCTGGTTAGGAAGAAAAGGGGTAAAATTGTACATCTTTTCAACATAAAAAAAACATGTATGGTTGACAATACTAATTGGATACATTTCATCGTTCACAACTGTTACACATTGCATGGAAAGTTCTTTAATGAACCTCAACATTGGTGCATTGTGTATACACATTCAATTACGTTTTCTACAGTGATGCAAAAATGGTGCCAACACTTCCTTCTTAATAACAGGTGGAAGGCAGCGATTTCACCACCTACTCAAGTGTGGCACCGCCTACTTTGACAATTTTTTTTTCTTCTTTAGGAGCTAATCAACACACAGGTGTGTGATAGTCACATGACCGATTTCAGTGGATCTAGCAGGAGTCTGGTCCTCTGGACATTCAAAAAAAAAGAAAGAAAAGAAAGTAGAAACGTTTCATCTTTCATCCGAAAAGACTTCTTCAGTCAGTCAATCAGTTTTCACCTTTTCAAAATTACTACAATTATTTTGTCAAAAAATAGTGTACCGGTAGTTTTGTTTTTTTTAAACAAAAAAACCTTTGAAGCTTTTAAAAACAAATCATTTACATTAGATATTTTATTTCAGGCTGAGACAGCTCGAAAAGACTGACTAGCTTTTTGTGGAAAAATATTAAAAATGTGTATTTTTAAGCAGGTAAATAAGGTGGTTGATTTTCTCCCTGAGAAACATGAACAATCATAAAGCCAAATGATTAACTCTTATTCAAATGTACACAATACGATGCTTTTTACGTTGATCAGATTTAACGATCTTGTCTGTAGTTACAGAAAACTAAGTGAAGTTTTTGAGCTGCATGAATTCAGCTGGGACTGCTGCAAGATCAAGAATAAAGATAAATCATTGTGAAATAATTCTTTATTAGATTCTTGAAAACGTATGTTATCTCTCTATGCATATCAAAAACACACTACTGAGACTTTTTTGTTGTTCTACTCTAAAATTAAAGCTTGGTGTATACTTACGGGGAAGTGCAGCCGCTCTGTCTGACTGACCAAAATCTTTGGGGATGGATTTTTCATCCTGTTAAAAAAACAAAACAAAACGCCTCATTTAAATGATGCTATTGATCTGATCATAAAATGGTCTGAAAAACTAAAAAAGAAAAGCAACTACGTACCAGTTTAACATGCATAATTCTGTTAAATAAGATTTGTCCATTGAACATAGCTGCAAAGTTACTAAGGAATATTCACACACACAAAAAATGAAATAGGAATGAAAAACAAATTTGATTTAAAACACAAGACAATCCTTAGCATATATTAAAGGATACAGACAGCTTGGACAGCTTCAATGGGCATTTCAAATGTGACTGTGCCCATGCCTCTGCTTTTTCCATCCTTGTCCTCCAGAATGTCTGTCCTTACCACCACACCTGCCATGCCAAACACCTCCTTCAGCTTTTTCCATCCAACTTTGTAATCAAGCTGTCAGCAGAAAAATACAAGACAATTTCACATGAGATAACTTTCATATGTTTTGTACCCAATTAATACAACTTTCAAAGCTGAAATAGTTATGGATGATTTTGAACGAAAACAGTTGTTTTCCAGGTTTGTATTATTTTATTTAGGTTTCTGATTCAAATTAAATTTTAAAATTACTTTTACTCCTTTAAGAGATTTCATGTTATAAAACTTAAAATCTGTTCAAAATGATGACAAAAACAACAAAAATAAGGAGCTCACATTTGCCACAAAAATAGTGCTTCCAATCCTGCCATTTTGGAGACCGACAATGATCTCGTTAGGGATGTTTGGGTTGTTCATCAGGCTGGGAGGAATGTTGACCATGGGGCCAGCTGGTCCTGGTCCTGGGCCCATACGATCCATGCCGCCCATGCGATCCATACCTCCCATGCGATCCATACCTCCCATGCGATCCATACCACCCATGTGATCCATACCGCCCATTCGATCCATACCACCCATTCGATCCATACCACCCATACCCCCCATTCCACCACGGCCTCCTGGGGGACCCCCAATATGAGACTTGTTCATTTCTCTGTGGGCAATGACACCATCAGGGTCCTATAAAACAAAACAAACAAAAACAAAAAAATCATCTCAAGACAATCTACAATTAAAATATAACCACAATTGCAAAAACCACCAACATTTGCTTTTCTCATTTTTCCATGCAATGTACCTCTTTCACTTTAAGGGGTCGCCCATTGAGGTTGTGCTTGTTGACCTTTTCCACGGCTTTCTTCATTAGTTCTTCAGTCCTAAACTCAACAACCCTAAAAGAGAGAAATCAACTTAAAACTAATGGATGTGTATTGCATTCTGGTTTAGCAGGTAGCTGTACAGTCTAAGCAGGACTAGATTTAGTTTACCGGTAATTAAACTCGCACATATAAAGAACTACAGTTGGAAATTGTAATAATAAATTCAATGTACTTACGCACAACCCTTTTTGATTGTAGCAATCAGAACAGCCAATGCAAAGTAAAAACAATGACAATTAGTAGATGTAACCTTTAAAAGTCTAAATGACATGTAGTAAAACAAAAAATGTCATGCTCAAGCAAAATTTAAACACACAAGCCTATATAGCCTTGGCAACAACTACACACAATGTACTTTTTTTCACCCAGTCACTGATAAAAGGCAACTGTAGTAAAAGTCGAGGGCAGTTTTCAAACATCCAAAGGGAAGAAACTCCACAATGAGAATGGGGCACACAATTAACATATTAGAGAGCCATTTTCCCCAGTAAAACCAATCTATTAGTTGGTTGTGTTTAACAAACCGTCTAACATCTTTGTAACAACCTCTTGCCAACTAAATCCCTTAAGATCATAAGGAGCAATTTCAGCAACCAAAGGGGACATTGACAGCTAATGTAATCCACGGGATTGAATACAAGAAAAGCTGAAGTACTATTTAAGAACATCAACCCTTAATGATGGCCTCTAATCAGTGCCACAGACGACACCAAATAAACACACCTCTAGCATGTCACCATGTCGGAAACTCCACCGGGATTCTTTATCTGAACAATTCCCAACAACGTAAATAAAGACCCAAAGCTGACAAACACAGGTTCGTCTAGGCTTAATCATAAATTTGTATGTATTTGCACTTACCCTGGATTTGCCTTCTGCGTCCATTAAGTGTTCCACGTATGTTACCTCACCCACTAAAAATCAGATTCCAGAGACGACACACACCAAGGGGAGAGAAGCCGAGAGAACAATGGGGGTTTAGAGTAGAAACAAGGAGGGCAGCCGTTGACAGTGAGCTCAGACGGCTAGTCTTCAGCCTTCCCCATTCACCTCAGCAGCACAATATGGTACAGGTCTACAAAAAATAAGCTCAATTTTTTTTAACAAAGAATTTAATAAAACTTCTTAGTCTGTCCTTGGTAGAATGCTCTCAAAACACCAAGAGGAAACCAGGTGTTAAAATGTTCAACAGCCTTCCTATTTCGACATAATAGGGTGAACACCACATGCTACATAAGATAATTGACCATACCTTTTAACGTTAGGAAAACCCCATACAACCCTTCAGACCATTTCAGTTCAACCGTACATGCACTTTTGTCAAATTTGACCATTTTAACCTTCAAACCACTCTTCCATAAGCTGAAAAAAGTACTGATAATCTTGATGACCACCTCTTAGAAGAAGGATGCTTCTTTAACAATATTCCTGAAGTTAAATAATTCATAAAATTCAAAAAATAAAACATTACATATTTAGCGATCAGAATTTCGGTTCAACATCAACCCCAGCCACATCAATGTTCAAGGTCACGTGTCTGTTCACCAAATGTACATCAGTGACCGAACCTCTGAAGACAAGGACAGTACAAAAGAAGTTGCTTTATTTTGTAGACCTGTACCCCAAAGAAAGCCCCCGCAAATAGTTGTGCGTGGCACAACATGGAGATCTGCTGAGAAAACTTTGCTTGTCAAGGTCACACCTAAAAAAGAAAATGCAATTTAACTCAACAGTTGACATCAAACGAATACCATGTCCTCCTCCTCAAAGTGACTCCCTTCATAACTTGAAGCAAATGTTCCTTTTAGCTTGAAATGAATGATTCAGTTGATATTTCTCAATATCCTATAACTAAACAACTCTTCATGTAAGTAAATACTAAACTATTTGAGGAATTCAATGTTGCTACATCACAAAACATTAAAAGTTTCAACAATGTAACATCACAGCCTCAACATTTACTAATAATTACATATTCCAAAGAAAATGAATCTATTCCTTGTTTCAAAGCCAAATGATTTAACTACACACACAAAAAAAATACTAAATTTTTCCATTAGCAGTAGAGAATAAACATCTCAAATTCCCATTCAAAATCCCAAGCCATGAGTTTTACAAGTTAGGACACCTGTTTTACACCTTGTTTCGCAAAAACCTCAAAGGTTTAATGTAGCTCTATTCAATCTGACATCCAGGTTCACAGCACTGGTACAAGTTTGCAGCATCCAGTTAGTTGTTGGACATGTAAGAGCATCATAGTCCAAAACTTTTGTTCAAGAAAACTTCCACTCCCAAAACTTCTTCAAAAATGAAGCGGTCAAACAAAATGACCCTGGATGTTGACCCTTATTTACTTTTTATATCATGGTCAAGTCTCATCGGTTTGTGCCTCGCAATTCCTAAAACACCTTACCTATTTCTTTCATCAGGTCTTTGAGGGTTTGCCATTTTACATCATAGGGGATGTTACTGACAAAGACACGGTATCTTTTGTTGACATTGCCGTAAGGTTCAAAACGACCACCTCCACCTCTCTTCTGGGGTCTCTCCTTCCTGCTTTGAATGGATTCATTCTTGGGTGTTCCATTCATTTCTCTGCATAAAGAAAATAAGAAAATAATTAAACCATATTAGTTACTCGTCTGAATAAATAAAAAAGTCACTGCAATAGGAATGCGTGATATAAACGGTACACGGTAGAAACGATTAGAAATTTAGCCTACGATAGAGATCTGTCTTTTACCGGCTAACCGCAGTAATGCTGTGTCTGATGTAAAATCAGAGTTGTCAGATTTAATCGTTACTTTTTTTTGTTGTTGAAAACTGTGCGTAAGTGGTGTTAAAAGTATTTTCTTCGAGAGCTACAAGCTAACTATAGCCAGCTTGCCGTATTCGGACGGATATGCAAAACGCTGCGTTCCATCGAAAACCCCCCCCCCCCCCCCTTGAAAGTTAATAATAATAATAATACTTTATTTATAAAGCCCTTTAAAACAACCACAGCTGCCACAAAGTGCTGTACATATAAAATCATAAAAAGTTAAAGTAAGCATTGGTCCGCTTTAGAGAAACCTGCTCTCTGATCTGTGAAAAGAATGCCGTGTTGTGTGATTTTACTGCGAGACCCTCTGGTCAAAGCCACAGATTCATTTTGTGTCAGCTCTCCATTAAAGCTGAAGGAGGCGCCAACTAGAGGTTTGGAGGGTGAAGTGTTTCAGTGTAAAATGCTGCTCTGTTGCTGTTCATTTCTTAAGTGAGAAGACTGGAAACTGTTGAGATAACAACATATTATTTTGTTTAAAACATATGGCTAAAACTACATTTGATATCTTTTGCACTTCAAGAAAGAAGCCCAATACTTGATTTGTTTATTGTTTAAAAACTCTGGACCAGTAGTGGAATTTTCTTAATTCAAAATAAATGATGGCAAAAGGACACCCTATGCTTTTTTTTTTCATTCCTATTCCAAGTTTTATACCAAAATCATATTGTGATATATATTGTTATCGCCACCCTTCACAATACATATCGTGATATGATTTTTATGCCATATCGCACATTCCTACACTGCAATACACTTACAAATAGCTGGAATATCTAAGTGAATAATCTAAATTAAAGTGGCTTTTAAAAAGCATAAAGTGAAACAAAAGCACTTTAACTGCATGGTTCTCCTGTGTACTTAAAACTCATAAATTTGCTGCGTATTTTTTAAATGTAACTTGCACATTAGCTTGGACACCTAGCAGGGCTGTAGTTCGTTTGTTCATGGCTGAACAAAAATGGCTACTACGAGGTCACATGGCGGCGTGAAGAAGGCCCCTATGCCTCACTTTAATTTCTACTAAGCGAATAGAGGAAAATCTAGATAAGAACGCACAGAAAAGGTTTGGTACCCATTATTTTCTTGAAATTAATCATTCTGAAGAGCTTGTTTTATCCCAAACTTCGAATCGACCTTCATAGACTGATATCTCCAGTAATTACACGGACCCGCATGCACAAGTGACTAGTCGGTGGATGAATAAAACCGAACAAGACGCAACGAACTGAAATTATATCTTATCACATTTTGGTTAACAAAACAAGCGTTATATTAGTTCTGCTTAAACTAGTGACACCCAACGAAATATTTGAAGTGGGTAGGGGTTGGCTAACCTAGCTAGTCGCAAACAAAGACATCGACTCACCCCTTCTGCTGCGACTCGGCTGCAGAGTTGATCGTTTCTTCCTGCTCGTTGGACATTTTTATTGCGAATGAGGACTTAATCAAACCGCGATTAGTTATACTAAAATAAAATGATTGTTATTACGGAATCGACCGGCTGTAATAGCACAAAACGTTCTTGACTATTACGAAAATGGCGGACTACGGCGCTGCGCAATTAAAAAAAAAGTAGGAAACACTTCCGGTAAATGACATTCAAAATAAGTGCACTCATCTCCAAAATATAATAACAACATAATATTTATGAAACTCTTATTATTCGCTGAATCAACATAAGCAAATGTATATATTTAAAAATTTTACTGATTGGTGCTTCTAAAAATAATATTTTGCACTTGAAGAAAACAAAGAAGGTTGTATGGAAATTCTCCCATAGAGTTGTAATGGTTGTGTTGTGTAGTTGAAGAGGGAAAAAAACTACGAGTACACAAGTTTTTCTATGATACAAGTGGGTGACGCTTCTTCACAAACACACCTTTTAAATCATAAACGCTCTGCACCAGTAATAAAAACCACTAAACAAATAAAAACGCTGAGAATAAAACGTCGTAGACTCAGCCATGCCACTAGGTGGCGACTGTCCATTTTTGAGTCAGTGAGCCTTGGGCGGAAGTAAAATCCATTTTAGCTAACGCACCATAGCTACCGAACCTACATCAATAGATCGTGTTTTTCCTTGCCATCTGTGCAATTTGTATCTTTCCTATACTTAAGTGGTAATATTATGAAACAAATATAACAATACTATCGACTTCATATTTCCAGGTCTTTAAAGCAAAGTAGCTGGCGAAATAATTCCGTAAGTTTAGCATTTTAGCTAGCATCGTGATCGAAATGAATGAGCGCTAGTAAAGAATGAACGGTATCCACATTTGACAGGTTGTGAAGTGTGTTTATAGGCAACATACCAAATATAATATAACAATGACCACTGGTGCTGATGTTCGGGATATTTTGGAACTGGGTGGAGGGGAGAACGATGGTCCCATCAGCAAGAAAGACCTCATCAACTCGGATAAGGTACGAAACAATTCTATCGCGTGCTTTACTTAACCCTGTTATCCATTGAATTTAATTGTATTTGGAAAACAATAGGCTAAGTCGATAAGGGATGACACATTGCGTGCTAATTTTTTTGTTTTGTTTGTTTCACTCTAATTTTCTGTATTTTGTTTCTCTCGCTGCAGAAAAAAAGCAAGAAGGCAACAGAGACTCTGACCTTCAAGAGACCTGAAGGAATGCACAGAGAGGTTTATGCACTGCTGTATTCAGATAAGAAGTGTGTTATTCAAAAAAAAAAAAAAAGTTTAACGCAAAATTGTCAGTTGTAGAAGCATGCATAACAATTTTTGTAATTATTTATAACTAGATTTCTTGAAGACAATATCACAATTTATGTTTGCGCTTTTTGGAAATTTAGTCACACTTTTCTTGTTTATCCGCAGAGATGCACCTCCTCTGCTGCCTAGCGACACGACTCAAGGTTATAGGACTGTCAAGGCCAAGCTTGGATGTAAAAAGGTTCGTCCCTGGAAGTGGATGCCTTTCACAAATCCAGCTCGCAAAGATGGAGCCATATTCCACCACTGGAGACGAATGGCAGAAGAAGGCAAGGATTACCCTTTTGCTCGTTTTAACAAGGTAAGATTGGCTGGTCTGTTTTGTAGTACAAATACAAAGTGTATATAAATATGTATATACATACTTACAACAACCCATCTAGTTTTCTTCTCTTTGACTTGCCTCACATGTTTTTGCTTCTTATTTTCTGTTTTCTTTGTTAGACAGTGCAAGTGCCAGTATATTCTGAGCAAGAGTATCAAATCCATCTCCATGATGATGGCTGGACTAAAGCCGAGACAGACCACCTGTTTGACCTGTGCAAGCGCTTTGACTTACGTTTTGTAGTTGTGCATGATCGCTATGACTACCAGCAGTTCAGGGTAATTGCTCAATCCCTTACCTCCTGAACTATTACAGAAGAAAAAGAAATCCCAAAACTAAGGCATATATTTGTGTTAATTTTCCTCCATTTAAAATGTTTAGAAACGCTCCATAGAGGACCTGAAAGAACGATACTATAATATTTGTGGTAAGCTGAACAAGATCAGGGCAGCATCTGGGACAGAGCCCAAGATGTACATCTTTGATGCCGGCCATGAAAAGCGCCGCAAAGAGCAACTGGAGAAGCTGTTTAACCGCACACCTGAGCAAGTTAGTAACTTTCAAATTAGATGAGTGTTGTAATGCAGCTGCTAATAACTGTAAAATTACTAAAACCAGAAAAAGACACTCCAAATGTCATTGTTTGCAATGTTTGTAACTCGTTTAATGGTTTCAAGTATAAAAATTGCACCTTCTTTGCTTTCCCTGCAGGTGGCAGAAGAAGAGTATCTTATTCAGGAGCTAAGGAAGATTGAGAACAGGAAGAAAGAACGGGAGAAGAAAGCCCAGGATCTGCAGAAGCTCATAAAAGCAGCTGACACAACCACAGAGTTGAGGCGAGCGGAAAAGAGGGTTTCTAAGAAGAAACTTCCTCAAAAGAGAGAAACAGAAAAACCGGTGCGTGAGCAAAGTTGTTCATTTCTTTTCTAAATTCTTAATAATTGAAAAACGATGCAAAAAGCATTATTACTTAAAAAAATAGATTTTATTTACGTATCTTTGAACTTAATAAATCGTTTCATATTTTGTGTAAACAGTGATGACCTTGAGATTTTCATGTGTCTAGGTTTGTGTTTAATTGTATAAAAGCATCAGATGAAAGCTAGATTAAGATCCAAGTCTTTAAATTATATTTTCCATGTCCCTCCAAAGTTCAAAAAAGACGTGCTTATTGTCATTTTTTATATATTTATCTTTTTGTTCCAGGCTGTTCCTGAGACTGCTGGCATCAAGTTCCCAGATTTCAAATCAGCAGGTGTCACACTGCGCAGTCAGAGGGTGAGTGTGTGTCCTCGCAGGTGTGTTACAAACACAAAACAAAGTCACGGTGTCAATTTTAAATCTCTTCTTAGTTCCATAATCCTTATTTGAGAATTTAAAAACATTTCTCTCAGACAAAAAGAGAAGCTGAAACGGCACAGATCGAGAATGTTTCTGTAGCTTTTTATCAAATACAGAAACTCTGTGTTGTGGATTTGACTTTAAAATTATTAAAAAAAATTAAATGTTGTGAAAGATCAACATTTTTTTTTTTTTTTTACCCAGTATTAACATCAGAAGAATGATAGCTTTATGTTGCAGGTGATTTATGTGACTAACTGGGGGTTGACTTTAGGTACCTATCTCTTTATTATTGCTGCAATGATTAAATATGTTCCTGAAGAGCTAATATCTGTAAAACCAGCAAGATGACCCTTATTCATCTTAAAGACTGATGAGGAGCTGCTGCTCTCAATGGAAAATGCATTAGCACAGCTAAAGAAGTGGAGAGCCCTGTAGCTAATCAGTCAGATAGAGTTCAGTGGATAAAGACGTTTTGATCTGGCCCACTGAAGTGCATTTCATACGAATTAAAAGCTCTGAGGTGAGGCTGTTTATCCTCATGTTTCTAGTACCTTAAATCTCAGCCCTGTGTTTGTGTGTGTTTCTCTGTGTGTTTGTGTTGTTCAGATGAAACTGCCAAGCTCAGTCGGCCAGAAAAAGATCAAGGCCATTGAGCAGATTCTGGCAGACCAAGGAGTGGGTGAGTATGAATAAACATTAGTAATTTACTAACATTGCAGAGTTTTATATTTTCAACATCTCTCTGCACCAAATATTGGCTATAGTGCATCAGAAAAAAAAGACCACTTTTTTTAAGAACTGTGAAACGGAAAAATCCAAGAAATATATAGGCATTTAAGAAAAAATGGCGCATGTAAGTTGTGGTTTAACACCAACGCCACTTGAACTACATGCAATAGCTTTTAAGTGTTATCTTTGTGTTTTAGTAGTCAATATTGTTGCATTGTCCTTTAAATTTACTTAGCAGCAGAATTAAACTGGTAAAAAATGTGTTGCAAATCTCAGCTGTTTGCACCCTTGTATGGTGCATCAGGTGCTGAATCAAATATTGTAAGAAACAGTGTAAGACATCCTCCTTATTGTAAACTTCTAAAAATGAAAATCTTTTGTTGATCTCATCTTGCCTCTTTCTTTGGATATAGATCTTAACCCCATGCCTACGGAGGAGATCGTACAGATGTTCAACGAACTTCGTAGCGACCTGGTGTTGTTGTATGAACTCAAGCAGGCCCACAGCAATTGTGAATATGAGCAACAGATGCTTCGGCATCGCTATGAGGCCCTGCTGAAAGCTGGCAGTGCAGCCAGCTGCGGAGGTACCACAGGTGGAGGTCCAGCAGGCGTCCAACAGAGTGGGGAGATCAGTGCCATAAACAGTACGTCATCTGCCCCTGGAGCTGAAGCTCAGTCCTGGCCCAGCGCAGATGATATCAAGTTGGAACCCAAGGAGCAGATCATTGATGTTGTGGGTGCACCTCTTACCCCTAACTCGGTCAGTGCACAGTACTAAGACGTTATTTAAAAAAAGACTTTGTCAGTAACCAAGTGAAGATACTGTATGCACTTTAAAATAAAAAAAGTACACGGGAAGCCTTTTGAGCTATGAGATAAGAAGAAATGAGACAGGAACTGAAAATGGGGGTTTATTGTAGGTGATTTTGCCATCGCAACATCAGTTGCTTGTTTACCTAGTATTGTGCAGTCAAAACTTAACCTATGATTGCTAAATATTAGTATATATTTTTTGAGAAACTACTGATATTTGTGTGTTGCAAAAAAACGTAACACAGGATCAATCTACAGGAGACTTTGAATGATAAATCGGTTAAAAATCAAGTATTTGCTGTAATTGTAGTTGATTCCAAAGGTTTGTTTCTATCATTAGATGTGATATGTTATGAGAAGGCAGGGAGCAATCTAGGGTTTATATGTATGAGCTCACATTGACAATAAAAAAAAAAAAGATTGAAGTTGTCACATTATAACAGTTTAACCCTTTTAGACCTGAAGTGATGAAAGTATACAAAATTTAAAGCCATTTATAAGAAGGCGTGCCTGTTATCAACTGCCTAAATGTGTTTAGTCCTTCACAGAAGATGAGCTCTGACACACTGCAACATGACTCTCTGTGAATTCCATTTGCAGCGCAAACGGAGAGAATCGGCTTCCAGCTCATCTTCAGTGAAGAAAGTGAAGAAGCCTTGATGGGAACCGCAGCCTGTGCACTCTGGAGGACAAATGACTGTGTTACTTATTCTGATGACGGTGGAGTGCCCATGAGCATTATGGCTGGACGAGACCGACACAACTGAGCCGGTCACCACATTATTGCAGATGCACCACTGACACACAACTTCTCACCTGCTAACGAGACCTCTCCAGATCCTCCTCATCTGGCTGTGACAAAGGCAATGACTGAGTGACATTCCATTCCATTACGGCTCGTCTCCCTGCCTCCAACCGGTTGGCCATAGATGAGGCAAGAGCAACTGTAAATTGCCAGGCTGAGCTAATCGGGACGGGGTGAAGAAGGTGGGAATGACTGGGTAATTGAAATGAATTGGAATGAAACAACAGAGTCGGGGAGTGGGAGGACCTCGAATCGCTGTACTCATTTGAGCCATCTGATGTTTTTTTGTAGTCTAATCATCCCATAGTGTTTACAGGAAATGTGTTTTCGTGTTAGCCTGTAGTACCGGGTCTTTCAGTGCCTTTTGTTCTCTCATGGAGGGCACTTTCATGTTTCCATTCTTTATGTTGGACTACAGAGGCCAATTTATGTTTGTTCTCCTCAGGTGAGCTTGAGGATGTCAATTGTTCAATAAATATCAAGAGTCCTTTTTTTTTTTCTAACTGCACATAGAACATGTTTGTGCCCTGCGTTGTTTAACATTTCAACTTTTTTGTCGCTCCATTTCAGAGGGTCTTAACTTAGGGGTAATAGGTGTTGAATACACATTTGTTCAGGAAATTGTTTGATCCTGACATTCTTACCTTACCTGCCATCTAAGTTAAGTGACAACTAATGACTTCATTAATATGATAATTAAGCACTGCCACTGAAACTTCATTAGGTTTCCCCCTCATAATGTTGCTAATTGCTTGTCAATTATGGTGTTTAGCCTCCTTAGACATTAATTTCTATGCAAATTGTGGATATGTTTGCCTGAAGAGAGGAGCTCTGTGATGTGGGCTTACAAGTACTTTATTTTTTATAGCTGTACACAAATGGATTTGCAAACCAGTAGACAAATATTAGACATAAGGTGAAGTTGGACCTGAAAGAAAAATTTAGGTGAAAGATATGTTTGTTTATCCATAAGCATTCAAAACAAGAGCTTGTAAACATTATGTAATGTGGAAATTTGGGAAAATGCAGATGCAGAAAAGCAATGGTTAAAATAAACAAGATTGCTAATAAGCAAATCAAACGAGCAAATTGATAAAACAATTACTGTATACACTTTTAAAATTTTATTTTACTTTTTTTTTCAATTTTGACAAAATCAAACATTTTGTCATCCACCAGCATTAAAGGTGAGTTGATAACATAATTGGTTTAGTGATGAGTTCATTATTTGTATAACATTTGACTCCAGGTCTCCTTGATTTATGTGTTATGGTCATTTCTGGGGGTTGCACAGTTGGTAGAGCTGCCTCTCAGTGAGAAGGTTGCTGGATCGAATCCTGACGGGGTACCTTTTTGGTGGAGTTTGCATGTTCTCTCCGTGCATGTGTGGGTTTTCTCCATGTACTCCGGTTTCCTCCCACAGACCAAAAACATGCATGTTAGGCTGGTAACTAAATTGTCCCTAGGTGTGAGAGCGTGAATGGTTGTCTTTTTTTGTTTCTGTGTAACTGATCTGTCCAGGATGTCCCCTGCCTCTCGCACAGTGACTGCTGGATATGGGCGCCAGTGACCCCCACGACCCTAAATAGAAGAAGTGGGTAAATATAACGAATGGATGTTCATTACTGTATTACAAAGTAACATTTTATTTAGGTGATTTAGCTAAAGGTCCGTTATCTTCTGCTTCCACAGTCAGGTTGTGGGGGCAGCAGCTTGAACAGGGAGGCTCAGACATCTCTTTCCTCTTCCAGCTCTTCTGGGAGGACCAAGGCATTCCCAGGCCAACTGACAGTCTCTCCAGTGTGTCCTGGGTCTTCCCCGGGGTCTCCTCCCAGTCAGACATGCCTGAAGCACCTCCCTAGGGAGGCACCCAGGGAGAATCCTTACCACAGGTGAGGGAATGTAGACTGACCGATAAACAGAGCTTTTCCTTACAGCTCAGCTCTCTCTTCACCACAACGGACCGGCACAGAGTCCTCAACACTGCGGACGCTGCACCAATCCGTCAATTTCATCCATTCTTCCCTCACTCCTTAGCAAACCCCCAAGATACTTGAACTCCTCCATTTGAGGCACAACCTCTCCCTCGACCTGAAGAGAGCAGAAAGGTAGTCAAGAAAATAAAATAAAAAGCTAATTATCAGCATTTTTCTTTCAGAACCTTTTCCCAACTTTCGTAGGCAATGCACTTAGAAGTTGCATAATCTAATCAGTGCAATCAATCTGATTTTTATTTACAGCTTAATGAGCGCCGCTGAGGTTACAGCAGCAAGCCCATCACCACATCGCTGTCCCTTTGATTGAGATGGAGAGAGGAAGAGTGAGAGAAGGCAAGTAAACATGGATAAAATGGATTCTCTGTGTCTATATTTCATGTTGAAAATTGGCTCATAAATCCAGTGGTTTGATCTATGGAAGCGGTCATTGCCTGAAAAAACCTCCGTAAATGTGTAATTTCTCCCTTGACAGAACACAGCCGAGAGGCTATCTTTCTTTTGCCTCCTCCTCCTCCTCCTGCTCCCCTCTCCCTCTCCCTCTTTCAGCCCTTCTTCTCTGTCTTTCATTCTCTCTCCAACATCCTGCTGTTGGATTAATGCTCCCCCCCTCCCCTCACTTTTCATGCCCCTCTGATATCTTCTTTTCATCACTGCTCATACATTTATCAAAACTAGGGCTTCTCTACCTCTCAGTGTCTAAAGCCATCTTAAGTTATTTGGTAGATCTCATAAGATAGACATCAAGGATGTGGAGGTTATTAATAAATACTAGTGCAAATAGAAAACAGGAACGTATCATCAGCCAAGTGTGAATGATAAACCCAGTAACCCCAGTTTGGCTCTTTCTGACATAAACTCCATCCAGGCTACAGTTCTGTTACACTGATGTGAAAAGCATGAGGCAGAACACTACTGGAGACTGTCTTATAATGTGGCAGAGCTGGGATCTCTTTATCAAAGCCAGGCTGAGGCTTTAATCACGGCCTAAGAGGTGCGCTGGCTTTTTATCATAATTGAACTGTAGCCAGGCTAATCGCAGGCATACGTCACTGTCGGTGTCGCTCTGCTGCATGAGCTGGGGAACCTGGTGGAGGTGATTGAAAACACAGTTAAGAGAAAAGATGTGAAGTGAGAGACATAAAGTGGGCAGCGGCAGGTAATAGCAGATATGATAGAACGCTGCTGAAATACATCACGCCTCGAGGTACCCGCTGATGTGTCAATGATTAGATTCCTCTATGGCAAAGTGCTTTATACCCATTATGTCACATGCAATCACTGATTACTAGAAGGTAGAAATGTAGGAATTGTACATTAATGTGAGGATTTCCTCTAGCGTTTGGCACTTACTGTATATGTGTCATAAAAATGCCCAAAACAGACTTTGGCCCTCATGCCCCTCTCCCATCTTCCCGTCTCTTTGACTTTCACCTCCATATGTATTTAGGTCACCTTGAGGGAGAAAACTTTTAATCATCGTTCCACATCAAATCCACCTGTGCCCTCTGGGATTCCGAGCTGCAACAAAAGGGGGGTGGGAAGAAAATAAAGTGCCCACAGGGCTGGACAGTAGATGTCATTTCCACTGGATTTTTTTCCTGCTTTTGCTGGTGGGGGATGGCCTGCTGCAGCACAAACCCCATCACTAGTGCTAAGCAGTGCTTACAGCTAGGCATTAACCCCACTGTCCACTCTCCACATTCAGGGAGCAGGAGAGAAGTGGAGTAGAGAGGCCAGAGTGACTAAATCTAGACTTCTTTTTCTCCAGAACTGTGTTTCTCTTTGGGACATCTGTCTTTCATGCTGCCCTACCTGATCAGGATGGGGAGTGTGAGATGAACGATTTATAAAGGACAAATCGGACTTGCCAGTAAAAATGCAGTGCAAGTTAGAATCACTTTTTGTTCTAGTTAAATTCAGTGTTTGAGAGATCTTTGTGCTGTAATTTAGGATAAAGGTTCAGCCTGATCCACATATGTTTATGTGAATAGTTTATTAAAATATAACTGTCCAAAAAACATGAAGGTAATGAAGCTGAATCACCGGCCATTTTGCATTCAAGAGGTTTAAAACAAATATTTCAGTGATCTATTAATCAAAGTGTGTGTTGGGCATGACTCGGCAGCTACCACATTATATTTTAACTCAGTATTTGTCAACTGAGTTGTGTTTGTTAAGACCTTTTGTACCTTTTGTAGCCATCTTGAATTGTGTTAACTCCAACACTTGTTACTTTCTGTACGTTGTATTAAAGTCTGGTCAGTGATATTTGAAATATTTAGCTAAGAAAACAGACAAGCAAAAACACAAGTGCACACACACACATATATGATCACTCATTTTACATGACAGTGTGCAATAATAACCTAGAAATCCACCAGAAGATGAAGGGACTGGCAAAAACATTAAAAACTAAGGAGCATATACTGAGAGAGATTTCAGTGCAGGTGAGATGATAAAAAACAATAAACAGTTCCACCATCTTGTAATCCTGAGGCCACAAGTTCGAGTCCAGGTTGGATCAGGAAAGAACGACATCCAGCGTAAAATCTTTTCCAAATCTCATGAGTTGGCTTTGGTGACCCCCAGCTGAGTGGAGCAGTCGAAAGAGAAACAACACATTTTTGTGCGTTATATATATATATATATATATATCATAAAAACACAAAAACAATGATAAACAATGAAATAGTAAATCAAATCACTGTGTTAAGTATCCATGAATACAGGTGTGTTTTTAGGAGAGATGTAAAAACGGGGAGTAATGTTGATGGGCAAGATTGTTCCAGAGTTTAGGGCCAATGTCAGGAAAAGCCCAATCTCCTCTAAGCTTCTGGTTTTTGATAAAACCAAAAGCAGCTGGTCTGATGATCTCAGGTCATAGAGGTTTGAAGGTGCAAGACCATTAATGCACTTAAAGGCTAATGGGAGAATTTTAAAATCAATCCTGACATGCACAGGGAGCCAGTGCAGGGAGGACAAAACTGGTGAAACATGCTCAAACCTGTAATTGCATGCTGACTCTAAAAAAAGCCAGGTTGGGAAGTCTGAGCTCCACTCTGCTCTGCTTTTGGCGCTCAGAGACAAACCAGTTTGATTTGATTTGTCAGCGAGAGACAGAGAATCTGAACAATATGTGACAGAGTTACTTCGCCAAAGCAGCGCAATGAATGTCTCTTTCTCTCTTTAACTGCACAAGTACAATTGCAACAGAAGGAGGGAGAGAGAAAAAAAATCCAATTTACCATGTGGATCCACAGCTGTCACAGTGAGGGAATTAAACATTACCCATAACTCACTAG